AATCATCTGCATATTGAAAAATATGAGTTTTGTCATCTTGAAGATCGTGCAAAATAGTTGTGCATAGATTAAAAAGTATGGAGCTTGAACAACTGCCTTTCGGAATACCCCCATGCCCTTCAACTTTTTCTGTACCTATTACCAACACACACTTGAATAAAAAATGTAGTGTCCACAGAGGTATTTGAAAAGTTTAACAGAATTCTACCAAGCTTAATCAAGTTGACACAATTATAGGCTCTGGTGATGTCCAAGGAAAGAATAACAACCTTTTTCCCGTCTTTTTTCAAACCAGTTATGAGAAAAGATAGTTCATTAACGCACATATTCTTTGATTTGCGTTTTTGATAGGTGTAAGAACGAGCTGAGATAATGTTCTCAGTTTTCAATCATTTCATTCATCCATTAGTCTCTCCTTAACCTAATATTAGCGAAATTGGACGAAAGTTACTTAAATTATTTAAGTCTTTACCTGCCTTAGGAATGGGAACTACTTTGATACATCGCAAATCTAAGGATATAAACTTGATAGAGCAACAGTTATTCATTGCATGCAAGAGGATACTTAAGCTTCCTCCAGACAGTGCTCTGACCTTGTCATACTTAACTCCATCACAACCTGCAGCAGTAATCCTTTTGCTGGAACTTAAGACATACATTAGCTCAATAAAAAGGGTATATTGTTGAGATTACTAAAAGGAATGGAAGGTATTGTAATCAGATTAACACTTGGCGTATAGCTCTTGAGCATATCCGTGTCTTTATTACGTGGTCATTCCACACAGCACAAGCGTTTAATTTTTGACTAAAATGTCGATAACCGTTTACGTAATTCCAGAACAACCCGAATTGCCATTACCACATAACTTCTTAATCGTGATTGCTCTTTGTGTCCTTTTCGCCTTTCTAACTGCAGACGTCCATCCGTTCAGTGCTTTCATATATTCAATGAAGTTTGCTGGGTTGGCATACTTGCAACTTGGTATTTGCGAAAAAGTGTTGACAGGGAAGCGTTCTACCGAGTTTTAGGTAAGAAGGACTCTATATCAGAAAAGTTGCTTCTAGCAGACTTGATCATAGACTGAAAAGCACTTTGAATTGATGATAAATCGGAAGGAACACACTTTAGACAGTCCATAAGGATGTTGCGTGAAATGTAATTTTCTGCTTTTTTAACAGAATTATTGTGACTGTGAAATAAACTGAGAGCGTGCTGATTTTTCCTAGTGAAGACGTTAGCCGTGATCAAATAGTTGAATTCGAGAAAGTTAGATCCAAGACACTGCTCGCCGTGCGATCACTCTGGTTATATTGAAAAGCAGCATTACCATTATTTAAAACATTAAAACTGCTGACATTGGTGGCATTTACAAGGATCTTGTCTTTGTTGGTCGAGAGCTGAACGCCATGCAATCAGTGCCTAATATTGAAATGTCCAGCTAAAATCACATTTTGCTCACTATCAAGAAAGTCGCACAATCTCTGAATCTCATCGCGAGAAGTTTGTACATCAAGACTGAGTGGAAAGTAGCATGATGCTATGAAAAGATCCGGTTTAAAATTCATGGTTTTGATGATAATAATGCTAACAGTAGAATTGTAGGGAATAAGTCTGGAATTGACACCTTTCTTAGCTAATGTACTTACATCATCATAGCCGTCTTCACGGCATTTGGTGGCTGAAGTATAATTGGAACTTTTAACTTAAAATAATTGTCATATTTTAGAAAAACTTCTCTTAAGATTTAACTTAAAATTTTACTTAAGAAGCAGAAAAGCAATATTATTTGAGTTCAACTAAAAATCCAAAAATGATCATTTACGCCGAACACTTTGAATATTATATTGAGATCATGTTTTATATGAAAACGCAACTCGAACGGATTTACTCGTAGTACTATGCGCTTGATCGTCGCGAGTATTAGCACAATGAGACGTTTTTCTTCAAATTCTTTAACAAGATTCAGAGGGATCATTAGACGGATACATTCTTTAATCGCAGTGATTAATCTATCAAGTTACGAGAATCGCAAATAGGTGTTCGCAATTATTGGCCGCTGAGATCTTATTACAGACGGCTCGGGTGGTGACCTGGGAGAAGGTTTGGAAACAACAGGTTTCCTTTTAACGACCGCATTAAATTCTTTCTTTGTTATAGTTCACCAATGGAGGGAAATTCTCATCGTAGGAGTTGTCATCCAGACATTCAAAGTATTTTGAGGAACAATTCTCTTTCACTTCTTTAAAGGAAAGATTTTTAATAGTCATAATTTTGTTGATATTTAATTCCCGCTCCCTTAGAGCTTTGTGCTCACCTGAGCCTCAGGACAAGCTCCTCACCGTTTCACAATTTTCATACTTGGGAGACTCCCCGCCACGCACCTGTGCTCCTTGGCTATCCAGAATTTTGACAAATGCACATGTCTAGCGCTCTTAAAGCATTTTTTTAAGATGGGTACGAAGTATTCCACGGGTAGATTGCAAACCTTGAATTTGATCGCTTTGCGTAGGGCTTTTCCTTTAAAACCTATTTTAATACTCGTTATGGCAATAAGATCGTTCTTGTTAAGATTTCTTCTTCGAAACCTAATAACAGACTTCAAGGGAATATCAGACATAGCTTTTTCAATGATTTCTTTTACACTATATTCAATGGGAACGTTACGAATGACTCCGAAATCTTTCACGCTTTTCTATTTTTTTTTATTAAAACCATTGTTTTCAACAAAGTTGTTAGCACTAACAGCAGAGCTCAAAAGCAATTTAGCTCTGCCACTGCTAACCACTTGTAGTTCTTGTAAGCCATTAATATTGAAACTTTTCAAATAGTCATAAAATAAAAGATCCGAGTTGATGTTCATACGCTTGCCTTCGACGTTTTCACAAGTTTCAACAAAAACTAAGAAATTGCATTGTGACATATGGTCGTACAAATTGATGTCGTCATTTGGAATGGCTTTGGCACACAAATCAAAAGCCTTATTAACTACCTGTTTTCTGAGCACTGTTAAATCATTAGCTTTAGCTCCTTCTTTGGGAGATAAATCAACTTCATTTCCACCCATCCTCGATCTCTTATAATGCTCAGTGGCATTCATATAAAAATCTTGAAAATCATATTTATCTGTAGTAATTATATCAGACCCTGTCTCCGTAAAGAAAGGCAGACTGATGTTGTTTTTGCTGCTTAGCGGGGAACACTTACCATAAATTTGGACGAAACAAGAAAAATTTAATATGTGTACTTTTTTCAAAAATTTCTTTTCTTTTTCAAATTTTTTTTTTCCTTCTTAAATTCTCGTTTTTTCCCCCTCTTTTTCCACAAACGCCGATATGACACAAAAAAAATGTTCAGCTGCCGTTTGCCCAATGTCGTGCTGTTTCTACTTCTCTCACTTCTCTGACTTGAACCTACAGAAACTGTCTTTTACAGAAGTGAAGCTAAGTTAGTGATGCTAAGCCTGTATAAGTAAGTAAGTATAGCGTTTCACAGTTACTTTCTTCATCCTTGAATCATTTCTTCTTGAAATAAAAAGAAACACGCAGCAGAGGCCTCATAAAGCGCAGTTATTCTTGATTTCACTAAACATGTCGATTGATTTAGCCAATTCCATTTAGTGAACTCGTTAATGCCGTGCTTAATACTAAATTCTGACATAAGTTGGAAAGTTAATCGAATTTGTTTAGCCATTCGCCTCAAAATAAAACAAAAATTCGTAACTTAGATATTTGCTTTGATAGTTTGGAGGAGTGAATATATGTACGAATGTTGATACCATATTGCTAATACAAAAAAAAAGTGATACAAGAAAGAAAATTGCACTCATTGTACATAGGTCAAGAAAGAAGACTAAGAAAAGAAAAAATTTACTATCTGAGAAACGTGAGCAGACACATTCCCCAATGCCATCGATGTCAACATTTTGGACACACAAAAGCTTGTAGCACAAACCAAAATAAAATGCATTAAATGTAGTCTAAGCCATCTAATAAAATTGCGCAATAAAAATATAGATACCCCACAAAAATACGTCAATTGTTTACGATTTCGTCTGACCATTTAGAAAGAATGCTCTATATAGTAACAACTATTTAAAGGGGTATGTCAAAACGCTATACGACGCAGTTTAACACAATTATTCCTATGTGCCTAATAACCAGCACTTAATAACACATAATACAAATGAAATCAAGAACAGCAATAATCTTACCAACCATATGTGCCTTTTTCAAAAACAATCATAAAAAGCAGATTTAAAGGCAAAATAAAAAAGCAAAGACAAGATCCTTAGCAAATAAGTCTGCGAGGCGCTACATCAATAAACTTTCCAATTAAATATATAGAGGACAAATTTTATTGAAATTCTTTACCATCTGCGTTTCATTGAAGAAGTTGTTCAAGTTTTAAAATCAAAAGTATTATACCTACCAATCATCAGCATCAAAGAACTTGGAGTGTCTGTCTGATTCAGAGGGATCAAAACATCATATCTCTCTAGAAAATCATTTTTGCAAGCATCCTGTATCAAAAGTGACTTTGCCCACCCCACCTTCCAGTAAACTATGATGATTATAGTGAATTCTTCGGCCAATTGGGTGCAAAATTTTGACGTCATATATCAACAATAGCGTTCTACGCAACCATATCCTAAAGGAGTGAATTTCTACTATATTTTTTCTGTGTTGTCTGGCGATTTGGCTGAATAAATAGAATATCAACATCTCAGGTAGATGCGGCTGAAAAACCTATGCAAATAACCTTTGTTCACTAGTTTTGAGTGGCAATTAAATCGCGAATAATAATTGAGTAAACCATCACGGTTAATATATTGATGAGGCCCACAACAAGGAAAATGAAAACACCGTGTAAAAGCTAAATGCCAACGATTCAATTTGAGAAGTAGTAGATTCGTCAATTCCTCAAGAAATCCATTCTAGAGAATGGATGCATTTTATGTGAAATTATCCTCGCACTCAGTTAGACCTATATCATGCTGTTACGAGGAACACGTAGTAACTCAAGTGCAGGAAATAATTATTCTAAGACTTTTCGTTTAATTGTTAATAGCCGTTCGTCTGCAAAGAAATTCTCCATGATGATCTTCAAATTCTATAGATGAAAAGCATTTCCCTTTTCTTTTTATTTTAATAATGAATATTAAAACTGCTAGATTTTTTTTTTTCTTCTTTATTAAAACATAAAAAATCAGCTGGTTGCTTGCACATATCTAATCATCCTTCCATCGGAATTTCTTGAGTAATCAGGAACTAAACTATGAATAGTTTAGGTAAATTAAATAGTTGGGTTAACAAATCGATGCATTTTGCAGGATGCAGTGTAAGTTGAGTGCTTTTTTTGGAAAAAAACGATTATTACGGTTGTTTGTAGCTTCAGCAAATTCGTACCAAGTATGCGGATTGGAGAATGATACGTGATGTTAAACGTCGCAAATGTGTAAAAGAACATGCCGTAGAACGATTAAGAGTTAAAGCTTTGCGCAAGAACGACATATTGCATGCAGAGTTAAGAGAAGTTGCCGATGCCGAAATAGCCGCGTTTCCTCGGGACTCATGCTTGGTACGTGTGCGTGAACGCTGTGCGTTAACCTCACGTTCCAGAGGTGTAGTGCATAAATATCGCTTAAGTCGTATTGTTTGGCGTCATTTGGCAGACTATAACAAACTTTCGGGCGTGCAAAGGGCCATGTGGTAGATAAGCAGTCAAATTTAATTTAATTAAAACTAAATATATATATAAAATGATTACAATGAAAGAATCGAAATTTCGTTTAGTCTATAGAGGGCACGTATGGTTTTAATTCTAAAAGATTAATGCAATTATGAGTACTGGCCAGAGCGCGCTTATAACTTTCTTTACACAGTTCAGGATAACGCTCGGACATTTCTAAAACGGTAAAAGTAAGCAATTTGTTTTGTGATCAACTTATTTTAAATTAAGGTACATGTAATTTAGTTTGATAGCTGCTTGTAAGCGCACTTCAGGACCATCATAATGCAAAAACAAGTCCATGCAACGTTTGAGGAATGTATCCCACATATCTTGTTCGTAGTTGTTGCTAGGTTCATCGCCAAACTTCGGTTTCAGTTTCGGTATGATCGATGCGGCCAAAATTCGAATCCCTGAAGATGGATCATTTATGCGCTGCAAACAAGCTACAAGGCATTTCATTACAAATTCAAAAAGCATAAGCAATCGGCTCCAAATCGTCTATTTGCAAGTCGCCAAAATTATTGAGGCATTTAATTGCATAATGGCGTGTAACCACAGCACGATCCTCCATTAAGGTAGGCATATACTTAGCAAAATGTGGCAACACAAAACCTGCTTCCTGTGGAGCTCCTTGAGACAAAGCACATAAAGTAGCTGTAGCGAAGGAGCGCATTGCTTCAGCATTAGCTCCAGCATGCCATTGTATATGAGGCTCAATAATTCTGGTTGCAAATTCCTTCAGTAAGACGCTACTTTTTTCCACTTGTCCTTTAATCGTTTTTTGCCAGTCTAACATAGTTATGGATATAGCGCTGAATATCTTGATTTTCGAGTCGTCAGCGCATTGTTCAAACATTATACTGACTTTTTCTTGCAATTGCGTCAAATAAGATTCCCGAAACTTTGCTAACTTTATTAGACCATATAACAGAAGAATAGGTTCACTAAGCGCATCCAATGGGGCATCAATATTTTCTACGTAATCTACAGCATCTTTAAAAAATTTCTCGTGCACATCATCCATTGACGTATTCCGACGACTTGCATTTCTTTTTAACATTATCGAACCGTTGAACCACTTGCACTTCTTGTAAGCCATTATTATTGAAACTTTTTAAATAATCATAAAAGAAAAGATCCGAGTTGAAGTTTATACGCTTGCCATCGACGTTTTCCCAAGTTTTAACAAAAACTAAAAAATTGCATCGTGATATATAGTCTTACAAGTTGATATCGTGATTTGGAATGAGTTTGGCACCCAAATTTTTAACTACCTGTTTTCTGAGCACTATTAAATTATCTGCTTTACCTCCTTTTTTTGGAGATCGATCCACTTCATTCCCACGCATCCTCGATCTCCTATTATGCTCAGCGGCACTCATATAAAAAGCTTTAAAATCATCTTAATTTGTAGTAATTAGATTAAACCATGTCTCCATAAAGAAAGACGGGCTGAAGTTGTTTCAACTGTTATCCCGGGGAATACGATTTTCAAACATTGCTTTTCTGTTTCAAACCTTTTTCCTTTTTTTCCAAACCAAGAAGAAGGGAAAAAATTTTTCAGCTGCCGTTTGCGCAATGCCGTATTGTTTCAATGTTGATGAAATTGCATGACTAAGAAAAAACTTTTAAATTTAAGACAATTAGTCTTTATTTCTTTTTCGTCGCTTTGTTTGAATACATACAAAACCATATGATTTATCAATTTCCACAAAAACTCGTGAAAACTCAGCAAAGTTCAAGTCCTATTCCGCTATTAAATACAACGGGCTGACACAATGAAAATATTTGCTTATATTCCTTTTATTTATTTATATTATTTACATAACTTATAAATGTATAAAGCGTGTAAATTAGAGGTTTTCCCCAGACTTATAAGCGGAATATAAGCGAAGATTTCTTGTGTCCGACAATTTTTTCGCCCTTCTAAAGGTTATTTTATGTAAAATTAAAAATTGTTTAAAATTTTTGAAGTGCTACAAGCTTCATAAGCATAATAATAAAATAGTACTCCTGAATAAATAGGAAAGTAATAAGTAACTATACTCAACTCCAATAACTTGACTGCAATTAAGAATAATAATAACATATTTTAAAGATTGGAAATTGAAATTTCCCATAAATGTTAAAGTTAATTTTTTTTAAGATTTGTATCCACACTTGGAACATTTGTATAAGCTAAACGCTATTGTGTCCGCTAAAGATTTTTCTCAATAGAAAGTATTGGACAACAGCTTATAGAACTTTCACAAAATGAGATACGCCGTTGTCAAACCCCGATGTAAACAGACACTATAAAAACAGGAGAACGAAAAATTAAAATGAGCACTACTACTGACTTTTATGACTTATATACTGAAAATCTGTACAATGGAACGATATTAGAATGTGTTGAATAGATGTCCACCTAAACATGCTGGCACTATAGAAGAAATATACGAGGCATTGAATGTGTATAATGTGCCGTATTTTCCATAATATAACTGTTTATTTCAAACACATACTTTATTTTATTTGTTTTTAATTAGTTTAAACATATACTTTCATTCAATTTTGCATCGTTTCATTTGCACATTAATAAACGCTTTCATTTGACATTTTATTCCTGCTTTTTTTATTCCAAACTTGAATGTGCACTCATTCACACAATATTGTTCATGCACTTGCATTTGCGCAGTCACTTTGTATGTCCGTTTGGTATAACTGACCACAGACAATAATATCGTTTATTACGTAATCCAGACCTTGAAGTGTGTCGTCGATTGTTTACTTTAACTTGCTTATATTGCATTTTTTGACATACTTCAAGCTGGTCATATTGCTGGAAATAAATAAACGCAAAAATGCAAGTGCATCACTTTTATGATTTCATTTATGTCAATATAATTCTACGTTAGTTTATAAGAATTATTGTTTATAAGCCATACTTTTCGTAATAAAATTATTTTTGTACTTTAAACATTGCACCGACCGGCTATCTTTGTGGTGTATTTCCAGTTCCAAGTGCTGGAAGACCCAAACCCCATTGACCATTTTGTTGCTTAGGTAGACTGTGCAACGTCTATTTGTTTGTTAGTGTCCACGTCGGACACGGTAATCAATACATTTGGAAGAAAACACCTTAACATAACCTTCTGTGACCGACGTGAGTGGCACGTCTCATCGTTGTGGTTTGGTATTAGACGCATTCAAAGAAATCGTCTTTGTGAAGCACATCGATCGCTTTTTTTATCTTACCGTTTCTTCCAGTTCCAAGTGCTGGAAGAAACATCTCAATAAGTTGGTACGACTTGACGCAACGTCTTGTCGAATCATGCCAACCAAGTAGGCATTACAAACATAGTCAAGACAACCATAATCTCAACATTCTGGTGAACCCGACGTGATACTCACGTATTGCGTTTGCGTCTCACTACCTCAACATAACATTAAACACAACATTTTGGTGACCCCGACGTGATCAGCACGTCTCGCACTTAACAATAACATTCGGTATTCCATAACTTATTATAGATTTCAAAGTATGCGTGCTCTATTTTCGTACGTTTATTCATGTATGATATCTATTAGCGAAGTCTTTGTCGCGTTTTTATATCCACTTGTCAACGCTGTCACTGTTTCATATCAAGGTTTGCTAAGCAATATAGGAGTATTTTGTTTGTAACGTAAAGTTATTGCAAGGAGTTTCATAATTTATTCTCGATTCCCCTTAAACCATTTCTGCTTGGTCTAGGCTAACATCCTTCTCGTATTGTGTTGAAAAATGTGGGGGAATAATAGCAAATTCAAAACTTAACTTTCGCTTTCGTATTCAGCTACTTAGCAAAAACGAAAGTCGACTTTCTGTGTTCGCTTTATGAATGAAAATAATTATGCCGGCAGCCAATAAACATCATATGTTGTTAAAACAGAACGATATAGGAAAGGAATAAAAGAACCCACGAAAAGAAAATTAGAATGAAATAGCGAAATCCCTGCTGTATCAAAAAAAATTTTTTTTATAATCCCTTACTCACAGAATTTCATTTCTATTCCATTTAGAAAAACAAGATTTTCTTTGGAGTCATTTTATTTTTTTTTTATTTATCTATTTACATGTACATATGACGAAATCTAGAGGGATTTCAGCGAAAGCGCATTTATTATTATTATGATTTTGTTTTTATGACCATATCTGCTTTCTGTACGTATATAACACAATCACAGTATATCTTCTGTAACCATATGTTTCTCGTACTTTTGCTGAATATTGATGAACATTGCACAGTCGGAGGCATTTTCGTATACTTTGTATATCTGGAACATTTTTATTCTTCAGATTAAAATTTCGTTTCACTATTTCATAATGATAAAGATCTTCTGTACTTTAAAAGCGAAAAGTGGAACATTTTCATCATCCTTCCATATTATCACATCTTCCATTAAGAGTTTTGCGTTCTGGTCTATATATTTAATATGGATTTAATAATGTACAGAATAACAACTCCGTTTTCGTATCAGCTGTCTTCGCAGCTTTAAAGCATTAACCAAAAATGAGTTTAAAAATTTTTTTACCTAGAAAGTTATACGCAGTTAAGGAAAATTTTAATATTTATGGGGAAATCAAAATTAACGATTGCAATGCTATCTCGTATTACGTGATAACCGCTATTGGTTGCCGAGAAATTACGAGAAATTCTCAATTAATCGCAGATCGAAAAGAAATTGAATTTTCTTCAACGCTGAGACACCTTGGACTTATAGTAAATGCTTCGGATATACTAAAAGCAGAGCGACGCGATGTAGCTTTGTGCTTTGCTTACGATAATCTAACGCCAAATATTTATTTGCATAAGTTGAGTATTAAACTGAATCAAGAAACCAGTATTAATGTTCTCATTTATGACGAGGACCAAATATTAAAGTTGCAAGACCTAGAAGAAGACCTCGTCCATTATGCAGCGTGTACCGGAGGTAATAAATTGTGCCCCAACGATGATATGCAGCTACTTTATCAGCTAGTGAAGCAAAGGAACAGCTTTATTCAAATTTCCTCAAACATTAAACATCAATTCCGTATAACGCAGCTAATATATCGACTATGCAGATTGCCTTTTAATTTTTTAAACATGTTTTTTACATTATGTGTGACAATGCAACCGTTAAAATTTATATTTCAACGAATGGTTTTGTACGAACACTATCAGGAGTGGTTAAAATTTAAACATTCGGGGTTCGTATAAGTTAATAAAATTGAAAAAAAAATTGACTATTTAAAAAAATTACGCTCGCATTTAGTAAACGACACTACAACATAGTTATTGATAAATTTTTGGGAATTTGCGTTATGCTGTTATTACTATTTTACTTTTCCCATCCAGGCGATTATCTTATTGAGACTTCACATGTAAGTTCTAAAGTTAAAATAATATGCAGTAAGTAATAGGCGTAATTACGAAACTTTATTAAATTTTTAGTTCATTGTTATTAAATTAAGAACCCTATTGAACTCATTAAGAGGTGCTCCGATAGGTTTAAAATTAAATGTACAACTTAATGGCTTCCTTCTAGACTGCTTTGGTTATCACGTTCATCTCTGGGCTACATTTTTAGGTAAATAATTTTCTTCACTGATTATAAATATAAAACATCTTTTTTATATTTTAGATCTTATCGAGCCTTTTGTGAGAAAACTATTTGTACCGATAGCTCTATTAGGTGCCATGGGATTATCTTATCAGTTGGCTTCATTAACCGATTTGATAACCATAATGGGTTTACATGCTCATTGCTTTAGTATTTATTCAGCTGTGTTAGTATAACCTTTATTCGGCTTCAGTTGACGGTTTGAATTTTTATCTACCCGCCACCGGAGAGTTTTGCCGTTACATCCATAACATCTCGATTAAGCATGAAAGCTTCTCTCAAAAAAAAAAAAAACTAAACCCATACCAACACTTGATAGGGGCGGACTATAGGAAATTATGTGATGACAATCGTCTCCGCATTGTGTTATTAAACTACTTTCGTGGGGTTTAATACCGTGTTCATTTATATTTCGGGAGAGGGGTTTGGGTTACTGTTTCTTTGGCTCTGGAAAGTAGTCTTTCCGTGAACGCTCAATAATAGAACTTTTCTTAGTGAAAATTTCTTACATCGCCGTTCCTGCAATCATTTTTAAAACTAAATTCTGTATTAAACATAGCCTATTCACTGTTTTAAAAAGAACAACAAAATATAAATCATTTACGTAGGATATCAGAAATTCCACTAAGTTTTCGATTTGTACAATCGTGTTGTTATCAAAATTTGCTTGAAAATTTAAGCAGAATTTCAAATTATTGAAATCTGACATCTGTGTTTACAATGCATTCTGTATTGAGCGCACGGTTCTGAGTTTGGTTAACCCCGTCCGTATAGCACTGATTAGTTCCGTTTATGTCGCTAAACAGAAACTGCTCCTCCAATAGTTCGTCCGTTACTTTAATTTTCAATATTGCTTTCCTGATAATTTTGATGAACTTATTACTTGTTTTTTTAAGAAATGTATCATTGAAGAGAAAAAACATATATTGGTAGAGTTGGGATAAAACAAGCTTTTAATCGTATACTAAGTTATAACAAATAGCGAACTTTCGGTTTCCTAGGTCGCGTTTAAAGTCTAAAAAAAATTCATTTTAACATTTTTCCTGTGTGGCAAGTTTTTGAAAATGTTATGACTTTGTTTTTAACGCAACTACTCCGGTTTTAAGTATTGAGGGATTCGAAATTTACTTAGCTTTATACATCCGTCCGCTTCGTTATTGTTCTGGGATTCGTTAAATATGAAAAATTGAGGCAGTAACGCAAATTTCTTGTTTAATTTTCATAAACAATTTTTGACATAACTTTCACTAAACGATATGTAAGCATTGCGAATTTACTGTTATGGTTACGGATATGCAAAGTTCGCTTATAAAGCGCATATAAATATTTTATTTGTTTCAAACAATTTCAGATTGTATAAAGTAGAGATTAAGGGTTTACAAGTTCTCTGGAAAGTAGTTTTGGGAAAACGTAAAAACCTTTTAAAAAGTAAGTTGTCTCTATTACTCTTTTTGCCATTATAAGCGTAGGAATGTGCAATTTAATTTTATGCTCCTTTTGTTGTTTTAGATCGGGTGGAATCTCACAACTACAAGAATCGTCAACTATATCTAACCACTATATTTTTTGCTTCGCTACTATTTTTATTTCCTACTATACTTACCTATTACATCGTATTTACTACGGTAATTAAATATGCGTTTAATTATATAACTGATAAGAATGAATTTAATTTTTACTAATTCTTTAACAGTTACGTCTCTGCATTTTCTTATTTAATCTAATATTGAAAACATTGAGGCGTCATTTGCTGGAATTTCCGTTTGAAATGTTAATACGATGGTGTTCAGGAAATCTCTACAATATCGGTAAATTTTTGAGAACAGGAAAAAGAGTAGTGGCATATTTAAAAAACAAAAGCGTTTTTCTTTATTTATAGAAGCTTTAGAATTGGAATATTTACAACATATAATGCCTCTCGTACGACAACCACAAATTCAAATGCCAATGTTAAATATAACAGTTTTTATTTTGCACATACATTCTTCATCATTGAGTAGAGTGTTTTCATCTGAAAGTGGAATCCTAAAGGAATTGGAGGCAAAAGAAAAAAACACGATTAAAAGCATATGCCAAGGAATATTAGTGGGAAAATTTTGACTCATTAATTAAGCAAGTTTATAACTTAAATTTCTTATTATTTTTTTTTTTGTTCTTTGTTTTTTCAATAAACCTCTCTTCAATGACTCTATTTTACATTTAGCTTCAGAAATTACATTTTAAAACAAATGTCCTGTAAACCAAAATTATTGTTATTAACTTGTTTTTTTTTCTTTTTTTTTACAAAAAGTTGGGAGGAAAAAAATAATACCAACCGTTAATAAAATAGATAAAAGCTAACTTACAGTATATATATATATATATAAATTAGCATGTAGAGATTGATATGAAGGTAAAAAAAGTGGCATGAAAAACATTAATAAGTATTTTAAGATTTTGTGTACTTATTCAATTTTCACATAAAATTAACCAAATTTACATTATGTAAATCCTTGGATGAGAATTTTATTAACAAGCAGAATAAATTTGTATTTCTAAAACTATACCGTCGTTCGATTTGCATCACCGCCAAGTTTTTGAATAAGCTGCAACAGATGAAAAGAAAAAAATTTAAGTTACTTTTCAAAAATGGTTTCAAAACACAGTAATTAATGCGCGAAGTATCGAAAAAAAAAACGAATCCTTAGTTATGGCCTTAAGTGATCTGAAATTTTGAAAGGTCTCTCGGCAGAATTAAGTAAAACAGTTATAAAGCAATGATAATTATTTGTTGCATTTATGTCTTAACAGCAGGCAGTAATTAACGAGTCTTGCGATTATCAAACGACAGGTTTAAATATTGCGATAGTAATTGTAAAGAATAAAGAAGAATTACACCTGCAGAAACTTAATAGGAGCAAAGCCTACAGCCGTGCAAGGCAGTGCTGATTTAATTAAAACGGTAAAAGATCGTTTATATCACAACCAACACACATATACTGTAATCTGTTAAACATTTTAGCTTTTTAGCTCAATCCATTCATAGTGCAGCATCAGATAGCACAATTTTATTGGAGCTTTATGTGGGAAGACACTCAATCTTTGCATTAGCGGTAACTTTTTGTGTTATGCCTCACATTTTGAGAAAAAGACTAGATCCTAATACTACCGTCCGTATTAAACGGTGCATTAAGCAATCAATTTTTATGAGGACTGTTTCCTTTCAAGAAAAACGAGGTCTTTCTTCCTTGGACACATTTTTTAGCTTTGTTTAAATGAAGTTAGTGGCCTTTATACGGAAGCGCACCTTGTTGACGCAATTTTAAGAACATGTGGATTTAACCTCTTACACAGAACCTATCACTTTAAAATAACAAAAAAAGGAAAGGAAGTAAAATTCCGATACACCATAATATTAGGTGGAGTGGCCGAATTTTTCTATTTTTGTATACTGCAGAATATACCTAAGCATTATCTGATGTATCTTTTTATAACTAGTGAAACTGCGTGGAGAACTTGAATCCGATGTCCATTTCTGAGCTCAGAAGAAGTTTAACATGTACGGGTTGTCCGATATGCTTAAATTGTTTCAGGATTCAAACTCAAGAACATGTGTATTTTATATGGTGCTCTCGTAAGCTTCCCTTCGGTTCTTGGAAACATTTTGATAAAATTAACGCTTTCTTGATGGGTACAAACGTATCGATGTACTAGTGAATAAGTCAAGCGGATTGCTTGCACTAACTTTCAACGTTTGCGACAATTTTGAAGCTGATAACTTAATTATTGCCGTAGGGAGAATGTTTATACCACAAATACATAGAGCTTAACAGACGGAACGGTGAACATTTGTAGACGGACTAAGCAATTAATCATTATTAAGAATAAATATACTTTATAGGATCTGCGAAATTTCCTATTGTACATTACAACCTTTTAACAAAAGAAAAAAATTTTAATATTTTACAATATTGGATGAATGTGACCGATATTGTTTGAAAAATTGTCTAGCATTTAACAACTTTTAATATTTTATAATAAACAAGTAAGAAACATTTAGTTTTCGCATATCAGATGATTGCTGAAATGTTGTATAAATAGCTGATACGAGTCGATACGATACACAAACATTCCAGTTAAAGGTTTGTTTGGTAAAATTTAAACTTTTTTCGCTGCAACGTTGTAAAAATGCTCTCAATTTTGAATAGTACAATGACTGTAGTTATATGTTCCCGTTTTGTTCAAATTTCGGAAATCTTATAAGGTTATAAACAAAATTGGGCATGTTTTCTTTCCAGTTTCCGGGAAAAAACGTGGGGAAAGCAATTCAAATGAACACAATATTCATTTACTAAACGGAAAGCAGTTTACCTAGTTTACCATCCCTGTTTCAAGCAAAGAGAAGAAAGAAAGCAACCATGTTAGTGTTACATCTGTTATAATAATAATGTGAAGCGTATTATTTCAGACATAAGGAAAGCGCTTCGCAGAATTCCTGATATCTACTTGAGAGTTGATAGGAAATTTTCACTCAATAAAATTGAAGCAGGGAGATCATGTCTGGCTACGTTGCTCGTAAAGGACCTTTGGTTTTTTGTAAGTTCTCTTTAAAATATTCTATTAAAAAGTTACATTGTGAAATAAAAAAAGTACAAAATAAAAAAATGATGATTACGTAAACGATTAAAGGTAATTTTTTACACTTGCAGCCAAAATGGGAAAATGGGCCTACAATTTATCTGGATTCAATCAATACGGTAAGTTTTAGTAATACTGTAGGCCCTTTTCCAATAAGTGGGAAAAAATATTTCGACTATTCGTGTTAACCTAATTTCATTTGTTTTTGGGCAAAAGGTTTACACCGTGATGACTGTTTGTATGAAACTGAAGATGTAAAGGAAGCTGTACGCCGTCTACCACGTAAAACGTACGATGAGCGCAACTACCGTATTATGCGGGCATTGCATCTGTCGATGACGAAAACAATTTTACCCAAAGAACAATGGACAAAATACGAAGAGGATGAAAAATATTTGGAACCATATTTGAACGAAGTTGTTCGAGAACGTGAAGAACGTGAAGAGTGGGTAAAGAATCATTAAAGTTTGGAGAAGCTTTCATGTCAATGTGATTTTTCGTAACTAATAAAAGAAAAACATAAAAAAATTGTTTAAACGGACAATACAAACTGTTAAGCAAAATTTTTGAAATTTGAATGTATTTTAAAGAAAACTGAAATTCAATCAATCTGATTTCATCAGAAACAAGAACCCATCGCGAAATTTATTGTAGAGTATCAATTCTGCGAAAATATTTCGCTACTACTTTATTTTAGACAAACTGGTTTACTAAAGACTAATAAACACTCGAATTTTTATTTTTGAATATATTTATAAATATAAACCCTCTTGCGCCCGAACTTGCCCTACAAATCTGTCAGCTGGAGATGCAATTCCAAGTATCATTGCTGGAGTACTTTTCCAAATTCACCATTAACTATAATGGATTGTCAGTATTTTTAATCCGTGCTTAGATAATTTTACTTTTACTCTTATTAGAGCGTATGATATAACAAGAGAAACGAAGCAAAGAATTATATTAGCTACTTTAACTTCAGGAAAGCTACGTAACAGAAAATGTAAACAACTAAATCGGTATTTTATCTTTTTCTTTGATGATCCTACCTAATACCTAATCTTTTTACAAACAGCGAGACGAATATTTCGAAGTTGTTGGACCAAAGAATTTGTAATTAATTATGCTGGGCAAAAAATAATGGATGTAAGCGAGTTTTATTCGTTCCTATTTTTAGCGCTCGGAGGAAATCTTAAAAGCCACGGAAATTAAGACAGAGGACCGTATACATACTTGAAGAAAGAAGATCGGGTTAAAATTCATTTGCTGCATCACTATTTTTAAGTCTTATAAAATTTTTCAGTACAAATGATCTCATTCGGTTCACTCATATGACCACAAATAACAAATCAACACAGAAATCTTCTAATATTTTTCTTAATTTGTAACAATAAAGTTTTTAACTGAAATCGAATAAACTTTTTCCTCGGTTTCAAAAACCAAAATGTAAATTGATTTATTACTTACTCTTTGCATGAATGGTCGGTTAATCAATGAACCCAAAATTGGAACTCGACTGAGAAAGCCAATAGCCACAGGGAAAAACCCGCTAAATAGTTATATATGTGTACATATGCAAATATAATGATTACATTAAATATTAATAACTTACCTAAATAAAGCGAAAAATCCATAGGATTCAATTATCATACCAATTAAAGGGTAGCCCATTAGAACTACAAAAATTCCACCAAAAAAAGCGCTAGTGCCTTTAAATTTGTGACGTTGGAAGAAAAAACGAAAAGTACGCTCCAAACCAGTCACACAACCCAAACCAGATAAGAATAAAATCTACAAATATAAGAAAATCCTAAGTAAATAATTAATTAATTGCTTGAAATATATACTTACATTTCCTATTGCTAAAAGTCCCTTGTCAAAAAGAAATAGAACACCCAAAAATAGAAATGAAACGCCAAAACCGGCCAGACCTATTCCAATTTCTACAATGGCATATAGTTGCAAAAAGAAAAATTTAAAAGCCCTGCTACTTGACTTGAAACTTTGAATAACTATTATTTGCTTACTTTGTAAATCTGTTATTTCGATCATACTAAAGATATTTATATTACTGTGTTGAAATTTAAAATATTTCTTTTAAATAAGATTAAGGAAATTTTAATAAATCCACGTAAACGCAATTTATGTTTTTAATTATACAGTCAGCTGTTACTGATAATAATCAAAAATGTCAAAAAGCAACAAACAAAAAAAAAGGCTACAAATGTGCTCTCTGCAATAATTGTGTTAAAACACTGATAATATCAAATGTGAATCATTAGAGAATACGTAATGTAAATGTAATGTAAGTAGTTTTATTTTTCCCAACGTATTTTGAAAGAGAAAGAACTTGTAAACTTTACGTAAAATAATAATTGCAACTGTAAAAAATTGTGTTTAAAACTTAATTTAAAAATGTTTATATATATATATACGTACATGTAAATATCTGTACAAGAAATTTATAAACTTTTTAAATTCAATTTATTCTCAAGACCTAGGACTATAAACGAAGCTTCGTTGTGTCAACAGCCTTCCACGTAGAGCGTTTTCGTTCGCAAGCTGTTCCCTTTGTAAAATTCAAACATCAGGGTGTCCAAAAAACATTAAGTTAAAAAGATGACACTAAGTAAGGAAGGTAGGAAGACTAGGTAAAAAATAGTACCCCGACATTTTAAAATGTATTATCCGAAAACTACTTATACTAAATTTCCACTAAAGTAATATATTGATACAGCAGAAATTTCCACTAAATGTCTATTAAAACTTTATATTAATATACCATATCTTGACAAAAACAAACAAGTTTGTTATGTAAATATATACATGTATATTTCATTAAAATTTCTTGAGGGATAATGCAGAATTTTATTAAAATATTTTTAACGGCAATCCAATCAACTTAAAAAAATTTATATGGGAATCCTTCGCGATCGTGTGTTAAAAATTTTTGTGATATTTCGTAAATTTTTTGGTATGAAATGTTTGTATAAGCAAGATTGTTTGTATAACAAGACGCAACAAAGCGTTGAACAATATAGAATTAAGTTTGATAAGCTGGCTAAGGTAGCTGTAGAAATGAACAAGGTGCACAGATAGTAAAGATGTGTGAAAGCGATAGTTCAATGGAGGTTAACCAGTTGAAGCAATCAGAAAACATCGATGACAGAGAAAATGTGCTGTTGGCTGGAAAAAATGTATTGAAAGTTGCTTAAAGTTGCGGGAAGCGGCTGTGAACTTAAATGTAGCTAACATAACGAAGGAGAAAACGTTTGGTGACGCTGTAAAGATTCCGGTTACCACATCTGCTGGACCGGTGATCATTAAGGCCTAGGATAGGCAAAATAGGGAGAAGACTAAGGCCGATTTAACTAAAAATGTTGATGCGAAGACCATCAAAATTTCCAACGTGAGGTGCAGGAAAAATGTAGTTGTTGTTACCTGTTGCGGAGGGGACGAAGAGCGTAACAAAGCTAAAGCAGCCATCAAGAGTTCTAGCTCTAATGACTTCGTTGTGCATACACCAACAAAGTTAAACCCCAGATCCAAGATAACTGACATGAACTTCAAGTACCATAACGAATCAGACGTATTAGAATCCCATGTTAAAGGAGACTGTACTAAGGAGGTAACAAGAAGCGGAAGGGACATCATTCCCTGTGGCAGATTATGCGTCAGTTAGGAGAGGTACAAAGTGGACGATGGAGCTGAGGTGATAATATGTTTTAAATGTTGTACGCTAAGAAATGTAAAAATTGTATTGTATGTTTCAAATGCCAAGGAAAGCATAGGGCAAGTGAATGTGTCAAAGTGCTTATTGTTAAATGCATAAATTGTATTACGTCCAATGAAAAGTTTGGATTCGATTTACAGGTAGATCATTCGACATTGAAGAAATTTTGTCCAGCGTATATTAATAAGTGGAGATTGCTCAAGAAAAAGCTTGCATATTAATGGCTGGTCATAACCCACATGATTATGGTGTTTATGTAGAGGTAGCTTCAAAGATTTTCAGTGGGATGCATAAAAGTTTTCAATAGTGTGACTTCAAGGTGCAGAGCATTAATAAATGTAAGGTGGACTACTGTATTTCTTATCCGAATTATTAATTGACGTGGTCTGCATAACTGAGACCTGATTCAGATCGCATATTGAGAATGGATTATCTCAAATCGGGGGATACAATATCGTCCGTCATGATAGAGCTTACGATGCGATAGGCGGAGGCCTTACGTCGATCGGGATTTGCGTCACAGCATTGTATCTACATCGACAGGTGACAGTGCTGTTGAGTACTTGGTTACCAATTTCAATTGATAGCCAAACTGCTAAATACCTTGTAATCTGTCTGTATAACCTACACAGAAATTACTGCATGGAAAAAGTTTTTACGGCCATGAATGAGTTGTTGATTCTGCATAAGCATATCATCTTGTATGGCGACTTCAATGTTGACTTGCTGCCAATGGAATGCAATCGGTTGTGCGACTTGATAATGTCTTCTGGGCTAACATTGATAAATTCATGGGCTACCCGTTATGTTCCGAGTTGTGAGTCGGCTCTCTTGGATCTCATGTGTGTCTCTGACACTTGTTTTTTGCTCACTGTGATCAATTTTCCTTAGATGGAATCTAGGTCACGATCTTGCATTCTCCCCAACTCTAAGTTCGCCAACCGTGAACCCTTCTGTTCCAACTAATGATATTTGCTTGACGGCAGTCCCTCCCAGAAAAGCAATATTTGTGTCAAGACTGGTATCTGAAACATCGGTGGATAACATGAAAAGTTATCTGGCGGCTAAAGTCCCTTCAGTCAACTTAAAGCGCGTTAGCATTTTCAAATTGGCTCCTTCTCAATCTAGGGCAATCTCCTCTTTTAAAATACTAGTTGCGGCTGAAAACAGTGGCATTTTGTTAAACAAACCACGTTGGCCAGTAGGATCCTTAATTAAGGAACTTATCCCTCGTGATCGTCCCCGTAATGCCAAGGCAATAGTCTTGTCGCCTTCAAAAAACTAATTGTTTCTTCAGGCCCACTATCTCTCATTTATCAAAATGTTAGGGGCCTGAATTCGAAAATTCGTTCTGCTTTTCTAAATTCAGTGAGCACGGAGTTTTTCCGTTTGGCCTTCACTGAAACTTGGCTAAAACCCGATCTTCATTCGTCAGAACTTTTTCATAATTCTTTCCAAGTGTTTAGAAATGATCGAGTAAATCGCATTGGTGGTGGTTTATTAATTGCCATATCTGCGTCAATCCCGTCCAATTCAATAGAATTTCCCACTTCTCCTGACGTTGAATTTATCGCCATTCGTGCGATAATGCCTAATAAACAGCTATTTATAACCTGCTCCTATATTCCCCCAAATTCCGATATCTCCATTTACAAGAATCACGCTGCCCTCATCTGTGAAGTGGCCAAGCGGTGTATATCCACCGATTTGGTCGTTGCATTGGGTGACTTCAACTTGCCTCAAGTCACTTGGTGTAACAGTGATAATTCTGGCTTTTTGATTCCTACTTCAACGTCTGATAGGGCTGTTGTGTTCTTTATTGAATTGTTTGATCATGCTTTGGTTCAATGTAATCGTACCCCAAATTGCAATGGTAGACTGCTTGATCTCAGTTTTGCCAACTTTCCTGAGATTAACGTAAATCGTTGCCCATCTTTTAGTTTACCTGAGGACCCTTATCATCCATCAATGTGCATTTCCTTTCAACATATTAATGATGGTTCGTTGAACTGCCTTAATGTGCCAAATCAAACTTTTTTAAATACATATTATGATTTTCATAAAATCAATATTGTATTGCTAAAACATCGTCTTTCGCATATGAGGCTTGATTTCTCAACCGAAGGTATTGAAAGCTTATTGTCATCGTTCTACAATACATTAAATCTAGTTATTGCTGCATCTGCTCCGATTAAGCAGTGCGGACCTCGATGCAGGTGTCCCCCGTGGTTTAATAAGACAATTAAATATCACAAGAATAGAAAAAACACGCTATTCAAAAAATATTCGAAAAGTGGCTCTGCGCTTGACTTTTTCGCTTACTCGGTGGCGAGGCATAGATTTAACTCCCTCAACCACCATTATTACTGCAGATACCTTCAGTGCATTCAATCCTCTCTGTTTGCTAATCCTAAATTCTTTTTTGAATTTGTTAACTGTAAAAGAAAAATATCCACATATCCCTCTCATGTTTCTTTTAATGGCTCTGATTCCTCGGAAGATTTTGAAATCTTAAATCTATTTGCTGAATATTTCCGACGAAACTTTTCGATTGCTAATTTCGATCTATTAGCAAACTACCCATAGCATATAACTAACTCGGTATCAATACCTAACTTGGTTATTTCGGAAGATGACGTTTTTAAAGGGTTGAGTTCTCTAAAATATTGTTGTTCGCAAGGACCTGATGGAATTCCATCATGTGTACTTAAATCTTGCGCTGTCGATTTATGTGGTGTGATCTCAAAGATTTTTAACATATCCTTGTATATAGGCGTTTTCCCTTCATGTTGGAAGAGTAGTTTCCTTATTCCTATCCACAAGAGTAGAAGTAGACAATTTGTTGAGAACTACAGAGGCATAGCCAAGTTGAGTGTCTTGCCCAAGTTGTTCGAGCGAATTGTGACTCAGCATTTGGCATTTGCCATTAATTCGTACATTTCTCCGCACCAGCACGGCTTTCGGGAAAGGTGATCTACAGTCACTAACTTGTTAGAGTTTACTTGGACAGCCCAAAAAAGCACCTTGTGAAATTATGCAGAATCCAATGGAAATGCCTTCGTCTGGCTCTTGGTGGCATGAATACTACGCACATACTAAGCTTGGAACAAATAGCAAATGTTATGCCTCTGCAAGAAAGATTTCGTTTACTCGTCAATTTTTTATCTAATAAAATTTCATTTACAACTTTATATCATCACTCAAGTCCCTTCCCTTCTTCTTCAAAATTTTTGCTGACAAAATATATCACTTTAACATACTAGGGATTGATGTGCCTAGTCTATTCAAAATTCCACTTGTTTCTCAACATTTTCGACCAGTAGTTAAATTCCTAGCAGAGAGAAAATGCACAGTCACTCCGGAAAAGGTACACCACCATTACTTAC